TTATTTATATTTAAAATATCAGATCTACTAGTTCAGGAATAACTACACTGTCAGCTCTACTCGTTCAGAAATATCTAAAAAAATCAGCTCTTAGCGTTCAGACATATCTAAACTGCCAGATATGCTCGTTCAGAAATATCTAATATGTCAACTATACTCGTTTAGAATTATCTATAACATCCAGCTCTATGCTTTTAGAAATATGTATACTGCCAGCAGTAATCGTTCAAAGATATCTAAACTGCCAGAAATATCTGAAATGTCGACTCCTTTTGAAATATCTAATCCGTCTACTCTACGAGTTTAGAGATATCTAATCTTTCGGCTCCGCTTGTTCAGAAATATCAATACAGCATTAGATACTTGTTCCGAAATATCTAAATTGTCAGCTCTTCCCGTGCAGACATATGTAATTTGCCAACTCTACTCGTTTAAATATATGTAATATGGCAGGTCTACTCGTTTAGAAATATCCGAACTGTCAACGCTAAACGTTCAGAAATATGTATAAAGGTAAAAGACAATAGGAAAACTGTAATATTAGGCGACGTGTTTCGACTAATGTGGATTTTTTTCAAGGCAAAAAACGACATGAATTTATTAAAAACAATGTAACTATTAACAACAAAACAAAAATGTCATTAGCAACATAGAAGAAAAAACGCTATTGTATTCATATTGTCAACTGAAATTTACGTCATGCACTATCACGTGTGGAAATATTGTTTTTATTGTTGCATTTTCTTTTGATTTCGTGATAGAGTTGTGTACATTTGTTTGCGAGAGTAGTAATTCTGTTAGGAAAGGTGTTATTGGGAAAAAGATTAATATTTGGATAATATTCAATGGCTGCACTCTCGAGGATTTTACTTCTGAAAAATATCTAGCCTCTCAGCTCTACCCATTTAGAAATATATAAACTGGTCCAACGCCACTCGGTTATAAATATCTAAACTGAAGATTTATCTGAAAAATTATCTAAAATGTCAGCTTCACTTTTTTAGAAATGTCTAAGCTGCGAAATCTACTCGCTGGGAAATATATAAACTGCCACATCTAATCACATTTAGAATTATTTAAACTGTCACCTCTATTCTTTCATAATAATGTAAACTGCCAGATCTACTCGTTTAGAAATATTTAAATTCTCAACTCACTAGTTCACATATATCTAAACTTTCATCTGTACTCGTCCAGAAATATCTAATCACTCAAATATAATTGTTCGTTTAGAAATATATATATATATATATATATATATATATATATATATATATATATATATATATATATATACCTCCAGATCTATGCTTCTAGAAATATGCAAACTGCCAGCTGTACTCGTTCAGAAATATCTAAACTGTCAGCACTGCACATTCAGAAATATCTAAACTGTCATTTATAATCGTTTAGAAATATCTATACACTCAGCTTTACTCTTTTAGAAATATCTCAACTGCCAGATCCACTCGTTCAGAAATATCTAAATTGTCCGCACTGCACATTCAGAAATATCTAAACTGCCATCTATAATCATTTAGAAATATCTAAACACTAAGTTTTACTATTTTAGAAATATCTAAACTGCCAGATCCACACGTTCAGGCATATCTAAACTGTCATCTGTACGCGTTTAGATACATCTAAATTGCCAATATTTCTCGCTAAAACTATATCTAATCTGTTTATTCGTTTAAAAATATCAAAACTGCCAGCTCTACTCGTTCAGAAATATCTAAATTGTCATCTCTACACGTTCAAAAATATCTAAACTAGCATCTATAATCGTTTAGAAATATCTATAGACTCAGCTTTAATCTTTTAGAAATATCCAAACTGCCAGCTCAACTCGTTCAGAAATATATACCCTCTCAGCTCTACTCGTTTAAAATGTCTAAAATATCAACTCCCCTCGGTTTAAAATATCCAGACTGTCAGCTCCACCCGATTATGACTCGTCTAAAATCTCAGCTCGTCTTGTTTATAAATATCTAAACACTTGCGACTACACCTCACTATATATCTAATCTGCCAAATATACTCGTTTAGAAATATCTAAACTTCCAAACTTGTTGGAAATTATATAAAATGCCATGTCTACTCGTTTAGAAATGTCTAATCTCTCAGCTCTACTCGCTCGGATATATCTAATCTGACAGCCGTACTTGTTCTGAAATATTTAAAACGTCAGCTCTACTCGTCCAGAAATATCTAAACTCTCATCTTTACTCATTTTGAAATATATAAATTGCCAGCTTTCGTTCAGATATATCTAAACTGTCAGTTGTAGACATTCAGAAAGAGCTAAACTTTCAGTTCTACTCGTTCAGATATAACAAACTGTCAGCTCTATTCTATTAGTAATAACTACACTGTCTGCTCTACTCCGTTAGAAATACCCAAACTTTAGCTGCATATAACCACATTTTCTGACATGGTTAAAATGGATTTGATCGAATGAATCCTGTTAGCCGTAAGGAGAAAGATCCCTTTTTTTAAAAAAAACAAAAAAAAACTTGTGCTGCATAATCAGAATTACTAAATACCTGAAACAGTATCACCTGAGAAATTTATGTAACAGCTACAACTAAAATAAATAAGATGCCCGCTTTCCTCACTACTTCAAACGTAAAGCTAGGAAGGAAACACCCATCAATACTAGAAAGAAAGTTATCAGCTACTAATTAAAAAAACTATTTTTCCTGAAAATTTGTTTTTCATAGAATGATTATTTTCAACGTGCTATGTTTTAATGGATGCCAGCTGTGAAGTATCTCCTGTTAACTCGCCACTTCAAAACTCCACTGCCTTAACCGGGTATTGAAGTCACACTCTTTATCCACAGTGGATAAAGGCGTTCGTTAGATCGAGTGACAAGACCCAAAGAGTGTGAGTTCAATACCCGGTTAAGGCAGTGGAGAACTTGGAGAAGGGAATTAACTGGAGATAACTGATATTTGACATCCGTTAAACATGGCACGTGAAATTAGAACAGTCTACCCCAGTGAGTGAAATAAAGGGTTCAGTTCGACATTCAAAGAATGCCAGAGCGTACAACGGCCGAAACGTTGTAATAAATATGGCGACTAAAATGAGAACAATAGTCCGAATAATATAAATAGTGTAAAATAACTGAAGTCTGAGAAACCTTATCATTGAATCCTTATAAATAAATTATCAGTTAGAATTTCCTGATTTGATACATTCACCGCATTGGACTTATCTTAAAAAAAAACATAAATGAAATAGCAAGTCTTATATAAACTTATATAAAATAATCATATTATCTGCTGCTTAAAATATTATTAGTTTACTTTTTCCTTTGCACTCCAATGATCACTGATTTGACTCCAATGCTTTTTCGCACACTAGAAAGATCAGTAATATGCCACAAATTCTCGTTATGAACTTTAACAAACAACTTTCAAAATGTTTCATATAATAAACAAGCTTAATAAAAGTGACACTTCTTTAGATTTTTGTTATGAAAAGATAACATTTTCTTGTATGAGCAATGCTGAAAAAATCAGCTCAAGATTCTTTATTTTCAGTTAGATCTATTCAACTATATTTAATTATAAGTCGCTCTGAAATAAGAAAGTGGGCAAACTTCAAAGTATGCTAAGACGATTACGATGGATTGGGTATAAATGGTAAGGCAACGTTTTTTGTTTGGTTTCGGTTTGTTTTACGTCTTATGGCAACGTTTTTTGTTTTACGTCATACGGCAACGTTTTTTGTTTGTTTTCGGTTTGTTTTACGTCATATCAACATCAATGGGTTATTTAATGTCGACAAAAATTTTATTGCTGTTTATATTTCGTTTTGTTAAAAATCTATTTCTGGTAATTTTTTTTTTTTCAAAAATCTGTTACTGCTAATAATTTTTTCCAAAAACTATCACTGGTAATATTTTTCCTCAAAAATGTATAGCTAGTAATATATTTGTTTTTTTTTAAATGTATTGTTGGTAATATTTTTTCAAAAATATACTGCTGGTAATATTTTATTTTCTTGAGAAATTTATTGCTGGTAATATTTGTTTTTGCTCGAAACATTTATTGTTGGTATTGTTTCGTTTTTTTTTTTTCCTCGAAAAATTTATAGCTGGTAATTTTTTTTTCTTTAAAACTTTTTTGCGGGAAATACTTTTTACGATGTATTTCTGTTATTAACCTATTTTTACACTTTCATAGTGTGTTTTTTTTATCCCAGTTTTGGGGTTAACTATTTGACCCTAGCTGGGACATTAACAGGTGCTACCACCCCGCGTCAAGGCGCACATGAGGACATCAGCATTTAAGAGTTGGTTCCACGCTCCTCAACGGTTGTGGTTGGACGTAGTTTCTCGTCATACCCAGGAGGGTGTAAGGCAACGACAGACTTGATTAAATGTGATAAATGTCCATATAATAACATTAAAATTAATATTCCTTTCTAATTAGTTAACAGGACGGCCTCTTTTAAAAATGCAATGAGTGATTAATTCAATTAATTGCACACAATGAGAAAAAAACTTAATTTAGAATTTAATTCTAGTCTGTATTTACATATTATGACGGTAGCAGATACATATATCTTTCGTCGTAGAATATACTGACCTGGAGGTTTGAATACCTATGGAATTCATAAGAGTCCAATTCATTTATTCTAATGTGCCAATAAAATACATTGGAGTCCCTAAATTACATGACAACTCCGTTTATAAATGTAGGAAGAAAGAGAAATGATAATGATCCCAGTGTTAGCGTGTGTCTTATTGTTGGAAATAGACATATATATATATTCTGATATGAAAGAAATGGTGAGAGCGGTTAATATGAAGAAATGAATCGATGACAGCAGCGATAAAGTGCGAAGGTTGGAGACAGTAAGTAAAATCTATAAGCCAGGCAAATGTCGAAATATTGAATGTACCAACAAAAGAGGCTGGAATGATTTGGCAAGAAAAAAAAGGCATCACGACAAAAGCTTGGGTCATCAAAAATAATATAAAGAACTCAAGTAAGAATATATATGAATGAAATGAAAAGAAGAGATAAAGATCGAAGGGAGAGAAGAAAGTTGTGCAGAGTAAAAAGAAAGAAAAATACAGAGAGAAAGAAAGAAATTAAGAAAGATTTGGTGTATACACGAATAAAATAAAGATGAAAGACAAAGAATAAATTGAGAGAAGAAATATGGCCTGAGTCGAAATATATAAAGAATGGAGGGAAGAAAGAATGAAAGAATGGAGAAAGACATAATGGAATGAAGAAATATTGGAATATATACGAATATATTAATAATAATAATAATAATAATAATAATAAAGAAAACGAAGTAGAAAGAAGCGGAAAATCCAAAGAAAAAAAAGTAGACAACAGAAAAAAGTAAATGAAGAAATATTAGAGTATAGACGAATAAATTAAAAAAAATGAAAGAAAAAGGAAGCTGAAATAAAAAAAAAATGAAATGAGTGAAAAAGATTAAATTATACACGAATGAATTAAGAATGAACGAATCAGGATGAAATGTGAATAGAAAAAGGAAATGAGTGAAACAAAGAAAGAAAAGCAAGAGAAAGGAAAACAGAATGTATACAAAAGAAAGAAAGGGGTGAAAAGATTAAAGTATATACGAATAAATTAAAAACATGAAAGAAAAAAGAGTTTTGTAGAAGAATGGAAAGAAAGAAAGAAAGAAAGAAATATTGAAATAAAAAAGAAAGAAGTGAAAATGATTAAAGTATTTTACGAACAAATTAAAAATGAAAAAGAAAAGGAAGAAATATATTGATATAGAAAATGAACTTAGTGAAAGAAAGAAAGAAAAAAAAAGAAAGGAATAAAGAAAGAAAAGAAGGAATGAAGAAGAGAGTGAAAGAAGATTAGAGTCTACACGAATAAATTAAAAATGAATGAATAAAAAAGAAAGGATTGAAGAAAGGTGGGAATAAAGTTGGAAACAAAGAAAGAACAAAAAGAATAAATGTTGAAATAAAAAAAGAAATCAGTGTAAATAGATTAACGTATAAACGAATACATTATAAATGAATGAATATAGGTGTGTAGAATGAGGGGGTGAGTGAAAGAAAGAAAAAAGAAAGAAAGAAAGATAGAAATATATGAGGAAAAGGAAAATAATTTTTTCATTCATCAATTAATAAGCGAATAAAAATAATGATGAAGAAATGAAAGGAAAAAAAAATAAGAATGACAGAACAGAAAACTGAAAGTCAACAAATTAACAAAAAAGAAGAAAATATGTCGGAATATACGGAAGACAGAAAGAACTTTGAAAGAAAGAAACAACAGTTTGGGGGCAGACAATAAAAAGAAGAAAAAAAATCGAGAAGAATAGGAATGAAAGCACAAAGAGAAAACATGTGCTTAAAATGGATCCAGAGTCTCTCTCTTCACTTGCATTTACATCTCCAACAGACAACATCGTCATGCCTGAATGTGTTGGTGGATTGTATGGAATGGCGCGGAAATTGAACATTTTCAAAGGATATGCTCTCTCCTGGAGGCGGTAGAAAAGTCGGCCGTCGAAATGGGATTCAAGAAAACCCATGCAATATTGTGCCCATCAACATGAATGAAAAATTAATTTTCACGCAGTCGCTGACGTTCGAATCAGAAAGGATAATGCCCGGCCACGTTGTTGAGCATCGAGATGTCGAACATGACAAATCAGATGGGAAAGATAACATTATACAGTATTGAATGCAGGTGTGGATAAGAAAATATAAATTTCACACACGCACACACACACACACACTTGCGCACACACTCTCCATTGGACTGACATATATATATATATATATATATATATATATATATATATATATATATATATATATATATATATATATATATTATATACGCATACAGATATACAGGAATCCATCTGTTAGTACGGCTAATGTGTACATTACAATTTACGCACTAAACGGAAACAACTTTAGTCGAATATAGCTTACAGGTAACGCTGTAACTTGTACCTGATAGTTTAGTTTCATTTACAATTTATTTCTAATTTGCGCACTTTTTGATTAAAATATATGTACATATGAGAAAATACACTAAAAAGCAATGATTTATTAACATCTTTTTTTTAAAGCAAAGCTTATTTAGAATGTTTTGACGAATGGTATTCTTCTGATTTTCATATAATTGGCGGTACTGAGAAATTTCCCTTTCAAGTTTTCCAAATATTTCATAATCGTTAGTATTTTAACCTGAAAATTTTATATATATTCTTTCCATAATAAACACATACTTTTATATTTCGATGTTTTTTAATAAACGTAAGTTTCTGTATCTAATTAAATCATCCATTGCTTTTTCACAAAAAATCAGAAATGTACTTTTAAAACCTTCAAAATAAACAGGAAAAAATTACAAATACGCAAAACATTTTAATAGACAAAGACTCAAATATGTATTTTTTATAATATATAACTTGTATGATATATATAATGTATATAATTTCAAACTGAAACGTCCAATTTAAAATTGTAGAGATATACGGGATATGAATGACAGTTATTTTCTGTATTCCTTGCTACTGATTAAAACCAAGCGTAAGGTCTTGGACTTTAACAGGATTGTAGATTGTTCTATTACACCTTGCAATACAATTGACGGCAATGAGAAGAAAATCATAATAATATTTGAGACCTTATATTGCTGTTATCTTTAACAAAACATGTTTGAATGAACATTCATTAAAGCACCCAATTATTAATAACACGTGGAATAGTAAAAAAAATCATCTATTTCTCCTTCCAACATGAAGGATGATGTACATCGTCAGGCTATTTTAGCCTTGAGACACCATTATGAAGTCCATAATTCAAAATCTGCGCGCTCTTTTAAAAGAAAGATAGAATCAACCAAAGATGATACATTCTCCGATTGGTTGATTTTTTTTTTGGGGGGGTGCCAAAATTTTAAGGTCACCTCCGTGTACGTGGAGTCATTTATGCTTTCAAAATGTGAAAGATTTGTCAAAATGTGAGCCATTAGTAATTACTTTAATCGGGAACATTGTAATCACAACATAAAGCACGTTTTTAAATCGAAACGTGATGACATGTGCGAACATGTACACCAAAAGAAAGAAATCATAGAAAAGCTACTCTCGAGTATTCTATAACGATATAAAAACGAGCGGATATGCCATTCTTACATTGCATATCGTATTCAAAAGTGGATAATGCCAGAAAGAAACGGAATTCAAATGATAGGATTGGGGTCGAATTTAACTCTCACATACACCTATGAGTTTCTCTCGTCCCTATGAGAAATTAGCAAAGTTGGACACTGGTCTCTGGCCTGTATAACCTCTCGATGGATGTGCTTTCTTTGCCGTTCAATCTGACCAATCATATGCTGATTTTACGTCACCATGGTAACGTTAAAGCAAGGGAAAAAATTTCCATTATTCACATTCGTCTTTTCAGAATTCCCGAGATGCTTCGAAGTAACAACTATTTGCTACGCTATTTTACGTGATTCGCGAACGGAATTTGATGCATCCAAGAAAGACAGTAAAAAAATTAAAAAAAAGACAGCTTCTTGGCACAGATAAGAACCCTATTATGATGAAAGTGAGCGTTAGGTAACAGTTTTTGAATTTGTCGGTGGATACGTTAGCGATGGTGTTGAATACAATATTCGACATCTTCATCATCATCGTAGATGTTCTGACAGTTGCTTGCCATTGCCTCGTATTGAAATACTCTCTGACAGGCATTTCATGGCTTCATGTTATCACTGCAGAAAGCAATATCAACTTGTTGGAATTGGCCACTAAAAAATGTTTGCCTCTTTCCAAAATAAACTGTTATGAGTAGTATTAACAGTCAGTTTTGAATTTATAAAAAATATTAAAAGATTGAAACATTATTCGTTTTTAAGCCTTAAATTTAACTCCCAAATGTGAGCCTTCAGAATATATATATATATATATATATATATATATATATATATATATATATATATAAAAAATCAGCCTTCAGAATATGTATAAATAAATAAATTACAATATAATAAAAGAAAATATATAACCCAAACAAATTACCAAATCACACCCGTTAGAATAGACGAAATAGAATATATAGATAAAAATTAAAAATTACTGAACCGAAATAAGTCAAGAAAATATTAAACAACTTAACTAACCATTATGACCAAAATATTAGACTATAAAATAACGAACCAAAAATCTGACGAAAAACACAGCTATAACAGTTATATAACGATAAAAAGAATATGCTCCGTTACTTAAAAATCGGAAACCGAAAAGAGTAAATAAAAATATACAGTATAATATATAAATAATAAAAAACAAATAAAATAAATTAATCTAAATACAAATAAATAAGCAAGCTAACACACCGATCACGACAAATTAACCGTTAGAAAAAAAAAAACAAGTAAATATAATCAATCCAAATAAATAAATGAAGTAATAAAAAAATTAAAAACTGCTTTGTCCAAAAGAATATTTAGAATAAACTACAGCAATCAAACCCAAAATTGAATAAATAGCTTTATCTTCCCAAACCAAAACAAAACTATTAAACAAGCGATATAAACATATTTTTACTACCTTAATAAAACACCGATTAAAATAAAAAGAAATAAATAAATATATAAGATAAGAAATAAAAATAAAAAATAAAACAAGCAAAATAATTTAACCTAAATAAACAAACAAACAAACGACCTCCGGCAAATTAACCTTAAATTTGACTACCCAAACAACATTCAATATATATATATATATATATATATATATATATATATATATATATATATATATATACTATTGGGGAAGTTTGTATGATATTATTTCATATACCATTTTTTATTTTGCTTTCGTTGTCATGTTGAAAAGATACCATTCATGCAAACTATGAACTTAAAGTATGTGACCGTGTGTCAACTTGAAACAATGACAATTAAATATATACATTTGCTTTACATTTGGTGTGTCAAGTAAAATCTGATCACAAATATGTACATAATATAAACATTTTATATATATTTTACCCTTAGATACCTTTCAGTAATTTCAAATTTTGGCTTAATTGAGATAAATGAGAAATCGATTTTTAAATACAGTTGCTATTATTATTTTTTCAATGCGATCTTTTATCCTCTTAATAAATAAGCGTCATTCGCTGATTTCTTTTATAATAAAATAGCAATGTTATTAAAATTGATCCCTTCTATATCTTCAAAACAGTAATGACCTTAGCATTTCGATCTCGGTTTTTGATTGGAGAATAACAAAAAACCTGTAAATGGAAGTAAAATATGTTTAAATCGATAGAGCTTTATTTAAAAATCTGAAAAATATTTGTCTTTCTTCTTTCGGTTGTCTCAATAATGTATTTATTTATTAAAAATACTGTTTATTTAATTAATTACTTATTTTCGCGTTAATCTGAAACGTAATCCTTTTCAACTGTGTCCACCCATACACGCACACACAAACACACACACATACACACACATACATATGTGTTATTGAGATGATATATATATATATATATATATATATATATATATATATATATATATATATATATATCATCTCAAGTGCCACTCATGTTTGGTTGACTGGCCGTCCTTGGTAGAAGACGAATGAAATGTAGGTTGATTAAGAAAAGCGGTCTTTCATCTTCCCCCGACCATCTCCTCCCGTGCCAAGTGAGACATAGTATGCTTTCGGCAATAGAAATCAGAAAAATTCATTTGAAAGAAAGTTACCCTAATTATACCAAAGCAACATTGAAATGAATTCAGTCTGCTCCGTTCATAAAATTGATGCCGTCTCCTGTAAGATTCTATAGATAGATCCCTACCTCCTATTACTTTCCCTCCGAATATACTATGTTAAACATCTCATGGTCAAAAATAATATCACCACTGATTGACTCTCCAAAAAAGATATCTGAATATTCATTTCTCGAAATAAATAGAAGCCAGAACCAGGACTGTTTTGTATTTGTTTTCGTTTGTAGTTTTTATTTTATTTTAATAGGAGTTTTAATAGGCTTTTCTGCCATCGGGTTTATACTCTTCTACCTTCTCTTAAACAGGATTACATTGTTTCCTTTTTAGGAATGGGTTCCTAGATCCTTCCCTTTAATCAGGTATTAACAAAGGTGCTGTCATTAATTTGTTTGTGATGTGTGTGGATGGTGGCAACGTATCTTCATACTGACACTACCGGGGTGAGAGTTTTCTAGTTGCTGTTCCCGTATGACAGTTAGGAGCCCGAACTCTTGTGTAGCATCTTGAGTGTCATCTTTGATTAACATTTGCATAATATCATGGTTCTTGCAGTGTCAAGTTGCGAATAAAAGGGCGTCCCTTCAAGCTTCACCGGCGGGCTACACCGAGGCGACACTATGTTAGCAATCTGCGCCATGTTCCTTCCTGCACATGTTACACTAGTGGAGCGACTGTTAATACTAACCTGGG